AGGCAGGGGGGGTGCGCCCCTCTGCCCCCCCCCCCCCCCCCCCCCCACCCCAGCATCTCCTTTCTTACCCACTTGCTGTAAAAAAATAGTGATGCTGCGTGAAAGGAGGTTTGCCGCAAACCATCGAGGCTGAGGGCGGTGTGAGCCCGCCGGAGCCATTCTGCCTGGTACCTCCGCTCCTGGCAGCACACCTGGCACAGCCCCAGCCCGTGAAGTTGGGCTGTTCACACCAGAATTGTGCTCTTGCTCCGAGTTATTTCATCTTGGACTCGAGTCCCGCGTAGCAGAGGGTCTCACTGCCTGATCACTTGGCAGACCACCGCGGCACAGCTAAACCCAAAAGCCTACTCACTACCAAGAGAAAGCGTGCCAGGAAGGAACGCAGGCACGAGTCCATGTCTACCCTTAGTAATAGGATAAATAATTGGAGATGAGATTTCTTAGTCCCTTCCCTGGGAATTCAGGCTTAATGGGCCAGACTCAGTAACAGCAGACAGACGCGAGACTGCCGATCTGAAAGCAACCACAGCTGCCTAGTTCAGGGCTGGGTTTGACCAGTTATTTACGATTTTTCCGATGCTTACTGGAGAATATTCTGCTTTGCTCTCCCAAGGCAGAAGCAGAGGAGCAGTCGGACCTCCCAAAACATCAGTGGGTCTGGATGACGACATCCATCAGGGGCGTGGGAGACAGTTGTTGTTGGCATCACCGCTGCGGCTGGAAGTTGCTGCCACTTAACTGAATCCACCAGCAGCTTCTCTCAGATCCTCAGTTTGCTCCAGGCAGAAGACAGGAAACATCCCCAGCAGCCGAACGAAGAGTTTAGAAACACTCATCTGAGCTAACGTAGCCTATTTTGCCTGAAGCAAACGGAGGCACACAAACGGCACCGACAGGACAGCATCGCCCTCCAGAGCTAGATCAGGAGGAGACATCTGCAGCTTCACAGCTGAGGCCTCGCTATGAAGCGGTCACACAGGAGAACAAGGAGAGTCTCATCATCGCGTGCTCCACCACCGCTAGCAAGAGCGGAAAGGCTTTTTCTCCTCTCGTCCACCCTGATCAAAGTGTTTCTTGTGGCTTTGCAAAAGGAAGGATACGTACAGAAGCAGGAGATGCCTCCTCACCCATCCGCATGGGCTCGCTCCAGATCTTCCTCCTGGGCTTGAAGGCGAGAAGCAACAAGCTTGCAGTGACAGCACAGTGAGCGGGGCGCGTATTTGAGAGCACTGCTTCAGATGCAACCCATAAAAGAAAGAATAAAAAGAAGTTACCTAAACTCACCTGAGGGGCAGGAGAAAAACGCACGAGTGCAAGTCCCAAGAAGAGCAGCTTTAAGGAGGAACGAGAGGGGAAAATTACATTTGCAAGCAAAATGTGCCAGAACAAACTCAGCTTGTCCTTTCCCAGTCCCTGCAAAACCCAAGCTGACGGTGTCTTTCGAGAGCAGCTACAAAGCACAGCTAGGACCGAGGGCTTATTAACTGCTGGCGTTTTGGTTTGGGCCACAGAGTACAGAACACACGTAGCGTCATCCTGATCTTATCCGGCCCCATCTCCAAGCAGCAAACAAAAGGAAGAAGACACGGAATACTTATCACAACACAGATTTAATTTCTTAGGCAGTTATAAAATTACAAAGAGCAATGGGCTAGCAGTGAGAGCCAGACACTCGGTGAGGTGGAATGTTAAGACAGATTTTTCCACTTATTGACAGAGATACTGAACAGATAAGTGAGCACTGCAGGATGCAGGTTTTTCCCCAGGTAAGGAAGCAAATGCAAGAGCAAATAGATCCAGGTAGACAAAGGGTTGAGTCGACGCCCCATAGAAACCCAGAGCTACAGGTTTGGGAACAACTCACCGCTCCTGAGAAACGAGTCGGACACATGCAAAGGCAGCGCAGGGGGAAGACAGCGTACAGATCGCTGCAGCTGCATGGCCAAAGCCACAGCACTGAGACATCTGTAACGAGCACAACTGTAGCTATTTACAAGCCAGAGTAAAAACTTCTTGTCTGTTATTTTCAAGGCAGTGCAAGATGAGATTTGCCAATTTGAAGAGTGTTAAATGAAGGCATGGTATGGTTAGAAAAACAGGAATTTGCTGAATTCCTTTGGTTGTGCAACTGGAATCTGAGAGGATTTATTTACAGTCAGAGCCATGCTTTCTTCATTGCAAGCCTTTCATGGTGCAGCACTGATTCCAGAAAAACAAAGGCCTACTCTGCACATGTGGAGAAGACACTCTGCCTTGCTCTCAGATGTTAAAAGGTGTCGTGGTTTAACCCCAGCCAGCAACTCAGCCCCACCCAGCCGCTCGCTCACTCCCCCCTGGTGGGATGGGGGAGAGAATCGGATGGGTAAAAGTGAGAAAACTCGTGGGTTGAGATAAAGACAGTTTAATAGGTAAAGCAAAAGCCACGCACGCAAGCAGAGCAAAACAAGGGATCCATTCACTCCTTCCCATCGGCAGGCAGGTGTCCAGCCATCCCCAGGAAAGCAGGGCTCCATCACGCCTAACGGTGACTTGGGAAGACAAATGCCATCACTCCGAACATACCCTCCCTTCCTTCTTCCCCCAGCTTTATATGCTGAGCATGACGTCACATGGTGTGGAATATCCCTTGGGTCAGTTGGGGTCAGCTGTCCCGGCCGTGTCCCCTCCCAGCTTCTTGTGCACCCCCAGCACTCGCTGGTGGGGTGGGGTGAGGAGCAGAAAAGGCCTCGACTCTGTGTCAGCACTGCTCAGCAGTAACTGAAACACCCCTGTGTTATCAACACTGTTTCCAGCACAAATCCAAACCATAGCCCCATACGAGCTTCTATAAAGAAAATTAACTCTATCCCAGCCAAAACCAGCACAACCGGTTAAACCTCTGCAGTGATTAATCCCCACCAATGCTCTGGACAAAGACTCCCGTCGCTCCGCAAACAGCAGCGGAGCATCCGCACACACAAGCGCTACACTGAACAGCTCAGCGACCTACAAGGAAAGAAATTCTACCGTCTTACTGCATGTTGCTCTGGTGCTAATGCCGCTATTAGAGCCAAGAAAGCACAGTATGGAATGTAACATAAAGAGTGCTCTGCTGATCAACTTCTCAGGGCTCTACGCTAACCTACTCACCAAGCCGGTGGCTCTTCAGTTCATTCCTCCCTTTTTACTATTACGCGTAGGTCAGACGCACGTTTCCTCTGCGGAGACACCTGTCGCTGTATTAAGAGCCTTCTCAGATATTTATTCGCATTCAGGCAGACTTGAAAAGCCACCACCTCTACCCCACCCTCTGGGGAAAACAGGCTCAAGAAACTTGCTCGCGTAGGACCTGAAGCAGCAAGGTACATGCACGTATCTGATCGCAGAGGGAGTACTCGCACAAATGTTTTGCTGAACAGGGCCTCAGAAAAAACAGCTTTTACTAATCTCTTTATGCTTTTTACGTCCTCCTCCTCTGCCAGGCCCAGCCTTTTAACTGCTAGATTTGTATCTATCACTTGTATTTTGGAAACAGTGACATAAGAAGAGTCCAGAGCAGATAAAAGCTTTCTGCCTCAGAACTAGGAATACAAAGTAGGGTAAACAGACAGATGTCGAGACAGCAGCGGAGTATGTACACTCATTACCTATTTGCACATCAAGAGAAACAGCTCCGTCCCTACGGTACTCACTGGGAACAGATCCCACTGCAATCTTAAGACCTGAGTTTAGGATTCCAAGTTTCAAAGTATTCCCCCTTCCCCAGCTTTGGTTGTTTCAGTTGCCTATCTCTGCCCCCAGCCCCCTACAGAGTTAAAAAGCTATGAAGAAGTGCAGCCTGTACCTAGAGACAGATGCACTGTCACAGAACAAACACTGTCCTTCCAAGGAAGGTCAGTCTAAAACGAGAGGGGCTGTATAGGTGTTCCTGTATCGTATGACTAGAAGCCCATGGCCACAGCACAGGGCTAGAGCCTCCTTGGTTTACCCTGGGGAATCCAGGGCTGTTAGACCATCAGAATAGAAGTGTTTAGACACCACCTGATCCACAGAGCGTAACAGTGCAATCATATGCTCCATACTCAGGTGAGGATGCAGCTGCAAACAGCATTTCTGGTATGTTTAAGAAAAAAAAACCATCTGTGTCATTGGGATGAAACCCCAACCCAAAAGGCTTTTAACTTTGGTAGCATACCACAACAGGGTGGTTACTGAGGGCCTAAGGCCATCAGAGGGAAATGATATTAGTCATATTTTATCTGAGAAAAAGTTTATATCCTCATGCAATGAACTTAAGACAAACTATTGTCACCACTCTTAAATACACTGTCAGTGGGGACCAGAAACCACCTGCTCCACGCTGGTCACTAACCCCACAATATTAATACTTTTGCTCTCTAAAAAGATTTTCCCAGTTACAACAACAACAACAACAACAACAACAACAACGAGATAGATACTTTAACTGGCTTCCAGCTTCTGCTTAAGAGTGAACCAAGCAGGGCACAGCGATTCAACAGTCAGTCTGCGGCTCAGGAGTAGGAGCATACTACAGCATATGGAAGACACACATACAGTGAATATAGGATCTCTAACTCACCTGTGGAAGGTAAGGTACAAAAGTTAAAGGGGTAAAATTAGTACAATAAATGTTGTCCGTTTTTAGCAATGAGTTAGTAATTACCTTAAGGGGTATATCTTACTATGTAACATGGCCTTTGTTACACTCAAGAGTTGTAAAACTTGTGTGCTTAGCAGCCCTGTGTTGCTTATGCATGTTTACTGCTAACTCTACTTGGGGAGTCTACACCAAGCCTCCAAGTACGTTATCAGGAATGTTACCAGCTTTAGTCTGGAGCGAGCAGACATCTGACAGCTCCTGGGCGGTTCAGTTTGCCAGCAAAGCTCACTGAGCTTATATTTACTTCAAGACTTGTATTTTACTCTGCAGTTACGAGCTCCACAGCAAAGCTGATAGCACTCGCAGTAAAAAAAGTAATTCCAGACCATAGAATTTAGTTGTCAGCCAGAGCTTAAAGTCAAGAGACTAAGCGAGATTTCAGCATGGCTCAGCGGTTTGATTTGAATGTGCCGGGTTCTGGAGAGGACACCACTCCAGCCAACTACTCAGGACAGTCAAAGGTTTTCAGTGAATAAACAAGCCTGATCCCTTCTCTTCCACGTGTGCACGTGGAAGAACATCTTCCACATACACGGACTAACAGCAGCCTCACTGATACAGGCAGCTCTCTTGGCAGGGGCTACCACCATCTTCTGCACTTTTAGAGGAAGGGGAAGCCCACCTGCCCACACAGGGCTTTGGGGAAAAAGACCACTGCCTGCTATTGCTTGAGAGAAGACTTGTTAACAGCACCAAATCCTAAGAGCACATCACTGTCTAGCTGTGGTAGGGAGTTCACACGTAGCTGGAGTACTCAGCTTCTGTCCTTCTCTCAAGATCTGCAATTTCCTTGTCTGTTTTTATTTTTATTCCTTTGCAAGCAGTCAGTAAGGGAAGCAACCCACATTGCTACACAAAAGGCAAAGCAGGCTCATTTTGGCAAAGGAAAGTAATACTCACCAAGTACTTTGCTAATCACTTGCTCACTAACTGTTATCCAAGACTTAAGAGAAGGCACGTTACAACCCTAAAAATAGCCTGCAGCACTGCTCAGCCTTGGAAAGCCCTAGCCAGGGTCAGGGCAGTTAAGGATTTATTCCAAAACTGCCAAAGAGACAACCAGTCCTTGGAGTGTATCACAAGAGGTACTCTGATGAAAGGGGAAATAAAAAAAATTAAAAAAAAAGCAAAGCACTGTTATCCAGCAGAAGAGAACCCAGAAGAAAATTAATCTTTCAAAATCATTTATATTTACATCAGTATCTAGGAAAAAAAGTCATGAACCTTCACTATTAGAGCAGTACACTCAGCCCCAGACAGAAGAGAAGCAAGAATTGAGAGCTATGCCTTCTAGCTGAAAGTCTTAAGGCTGTTTAAAGAGTGGGGCTGCCATACTCTACAGGGACTTCCATCCAGCCTGACAGAATCCTTGCTTTGGATAATTTAAAAAAGTATAAAAAAAGGTTATTGCTACTCTGCCAAGGAAATAAGACAATCTACAGGAGAGAAAGAAAGTGCATTCCAAGTCTTCCCTAAAAAAACCCCACAAGCTCATCAGCCACTAGGGGCTATAGACACCCAAGTACTAAAAGGTGTACAAACAAGAGACTCCAGCAATTCCTCCTTCCTTCTAGCTTTCTTCCTGCAGCAATTCCTTTTCTTCCCTATAAAGGCACTTTCTATATTCTATATCCTTATGCAGGGAAACACTTCCAGTTTTCCATCCCAACAAACAGAACAGTCCCACAAATACACAACATTCAGAAGGAATTTTAATTAACAAAATGGTCCAGGAAAGGGGAGGGAGAACCCAAAAAAACCAGGCCATTGCATTTGAAAGGTTGCATGTCAGTCACTAGGTATGCCTGCAAGCCCATGCACAGGAAACCATTTGGACCTTTGTCAGTGCAGAACTAGTTTCAGCTTCCAGAACCACTTCTCTACTCCTTCCTTATATAAGCTAAATATTATATACATATATAAAAAAAATACAAACTTGGGTTTGTTATAAAGTGGCTTCTCTCTCTCTCCCCCTCCTATGCTTGCTTGGCACATGAACGCATGCAAAGCTAGTAGGCTCTGAGGGCTGCACAAACAGCAGGTTTTGGCAACAAAAAAAACCCCACAGCTAAAATAGATAAGCAAGATTAAAAGCCACTGAATTGAAAACCATATATTTTTCCAATTGTATAGAATTAGAACTACAGCTACGACTTAAAACTGTAAGAGTCTGTCATCCTCTCTCCCAACTCATGTCAAAGTTCATAGCAGCATAACACGAGATTCCTCAAGAAACATCAAGCCAGTGTTCTCTGCTTCAGGAGTGAGTTCACAGGTCAAAGTTTAGTCTGTTCGAAGGATCATGGGAGGATGCTCACTGTCTTCGTCCAATCTAAGTGAGTTGGTTTCATCTTCCAGGCAAACTCCACCCACGGCACCCAGGTCATCCGTATAGGCTGGAGAGAAAGGAACAAGTAATTGGGGGGTCAGCAGCACAAACTAAGGCTTGGATCCAAAGCGGATGATTAGAGCTGAAGTACCAGACATTACTTGCAACAGTTTCACTGCCACCTTATTTTTGCTTTTATCATGACCGTGTTTCTCCAAGCCAAGAGCAGTTTATGATCAAAATTAAACTACTCTGCATGTGCTCAATGCGTACTTGTGCTTTGGGCAGGCTGATGTTTTTCTTAATCTCCACCTGTGCATTACAGCTGCAACTGCAGACTGTCCTTCCTCTGCAGTTGAAGCACTGACCTGAGTGCCATACAAAGATGGTAGAAGCTCCACTCGGAGAGCTGCAGCATTAACCAAATTCTCATCCTCTCAATTTAACAGAGCAGCAAATCAGGCTAAAAGCTCACTGTTCCCATAAAGGAATGATAGGAGCACTTATCAACCTTGTTAAAAAAAGAGGGGGGGGGCTATAATTCAGATGCTTTGCATGAGGTCTGGGTGCAGAACTCCTGTATGAAATAATTGTGTTAGGGCATCTCAAGAACTATTTGGCAAGTGCTGCAACTACCACTACAGTAATCAACCACAATTTGAGACAAAGTTCTACTCAAAGTAGCAAAGATGAGCGATCCGTCTATAGGAGGCTACTGTACACCACAAGTGCTCTTTTCCTACTGCTCACCAATGCTCCACATCACACCCGCAGTTATGAAAAGCTCAGCGTTGAAGCAGACGTGCTCACGCAGCCATCTAGAATGAAGCAATACGCAGAGGTGCTCTCTGCCCCATTTCCAGCCTTCTCCTTACCATGCCTTGTGGGTGAGGAAGGCACATATGTACCTTTAGTCACAGCGGCACTGTATGTCTGCGCTACCAACGGCCGGTCATGGGATGCAGACTCCAGAATTTCGTTGGCTGGCTCCATACTGCCATCGAGCCTACCAAGCAGAGAGAGGTTAGCTGGAGAGGTGATCTACCTGGGCATAATACAGCTTTAGTTGACAGTTACAGAAGAGTATCTCATTAGACGTGCAAGAATAATACATATACACATGCAACAGGAGGAACTTGGTCCCTCCATTCCAGAGTACTGTCAAGAAGGCATCTGAGAACACTTCATATTTAACACTGAAGACGCATCAGCGATGTGCTTGCCTGACATGGCATCAGAATCTAAATCCTAGCAGCTGATGCTACAAAAAAAAGACTCAAAACAAGAGCACATGATTAAGAGACATAACCATTCCAATCAGCAATGTTACAGATTGTCTCTTGAGCTCTGTCCACAACAGAAGCAGTTGCTTCATACATATACTAGAAAACCAGAAAACCCTCTAGTGAAGGTATTAGAGCATTTCAGAGATTAAGAACTTGATAAAAACTTCCCTCTGAGATTTCACTCCATCTACAAGTGAAACCAGAGGTCATACCTTAAAACGTTCAGATAAAGGTATGATTTTTGACCAGTATTATAGATTGACCAAAGTTGCAAACCTGAATTATCATCGTGAGTTATTGGCTTTAATTCTATGATTGATCACATAAGTAATCCAACTATATTACCCTAGCTTTTCCTGCCAAACCTTATTAAAAACCGCCTTGTCACATTTTCCTTAAGTGTTCTACAATACTGCTACAGAACATTAGTTGGCTGATCTATATGCAAGGAAGTTTAATAAGGACACCGGCAGAGAGAATACAGAAAATTTCGTAGGCCAGATTCCCCTCTGTGAAGTCAGAGTAACATCTCTTTCATCTCTGTAACTGCTTCATTTATTGATGAAGAGGATGGTGTCAGACGTTTCAAGTTCTTGTTTAAGTAACTCAACTCAAACTGCCAAGTAAGAGGAAACAGAATCATACAGCTAACAGCGATTGATCCTTCACTGCAATCATACAGTGTTAAGTTTCTGCTGGTAAAGCGGTGCTTAGTGTAGAAGATACTAGGAAGGAAGGCGCAGGGGGATTCTGAAGTTACTCATTCGTGTCAGAGGTATGGAAAAAGATTAGTTTAAAGAAATGAGCTGTTCTAAGTTAAACCTTTGCAGAACAGAACTAAGTTTAAGAATAAACTGAATTTTGTGAAAAAATAAAATACAACAGTCCTCAGCTAATGTGGACTTACTTGTGCTGCTTCATTAGTGTGCACTCTCCTCCTTCTTGAGGGTCTAGGTTGTACATGTAGAGATATCCATCAGCAGCTCCCACCAATAAACGAGGGATCTTCTGGATTCTAGAAAGGTTTAGGGGAGAGCAACAGATTAATAAGAACTTCAGTTTCGTATCAGCACACTCTCCTCCCCTTCCATGATTTTAAGCCATTATTTTCCACACTCTTGATTCTAGACAGGGAACATTGTTAACAGTTAGACAGAGCACCTAGGAAAGAACTGTGCGTAAAAAAAAAAAGGCACAACCACATTTTGGGGCTAATGGGATGCCATAGGAATCAAGCAACTTATATATAACACAGTAAAACAGATTCAGAAGTTACCATCCTGTTATCAAGCTTTGTGCAACTCCAGAGACATATTCTAACAGGAAATATTTACTTATTTCAGAAATGTTACAAGGCTTAATTATTGCTTAAAGGGTGCTTTGAGATCAGAGAAGTGAGAGTACAGACATGAAGTCAATTTAGCATAAAAACTGTAAAACCCCCACAACTAAGTTTACTACCGCCCAGCTTATTGCTTTGGTAGCCGTGCCAAACAGGACCTGCCTTTGGCGAAGACAGAATAAAGATTAGATTTACTCCTCAAAATGAACTTTAACAAATGCTATGCTGTTTTAGAGACAAGAATAATATGAACTTGCTTTCAAAGACTTCTTTAACGGTTAGTCTAGATTGCCTAATTTTGCAATTCACTAACATAACATACAGTAACACTCCCCCAGCACTAATGGAAGCAAATGCCATAAGCCCATGGGTCCGTTCTCAACATTCTTCTTTCAAAATTAAAAGACATCTTTAAACAACACTTAAAAATAGTCTGTTCTCATCCAAATATTATGCCTTTCCCTCCTCCCCTCACAGGGCTGTGAGGTGTTAGCTCTAACACATTGCTCTTAAACTGGAAGAGGCTTTGAAGTGATTACAGGTGATCCATTGCTCCACGTACTACCCGCTCCGCTGGAGATGAGGTTATGTTCTACAGTGTCAGCCTCTCCATAGCCCAACATGGCAACCCAGAGAGGTGGTGAATGCAGGCTCAATTTTTTTTACTCACGTGGCAAGTGCACAGATGTTTTTGTGCCCACAGAACGGCAGGCGGACTGTAGCAAAGGCTCTACCCTGGTTGAACATTTCTGTTACTTGAGAGGGCAGATAGCTTGTTGAGGCCATCAGCACTTTTCCAAAGTAACCTGTCCAGGTTGTAGGCTCTTCCTGAGGTCTACAAGTCAGAAGAAAAAAAGTGACCAACTTTGCCTTCACATTAGAGAGAAAGGTGTGTAAACACTTTGAAACATCTTTTTATTTTTAAAGATATTAAGCAGCTATTTGTTTCTCTTCAGAAATAACTAACACCCTTGAGAACTCTAATGCACTCCGTTTATGCTACAGGGCACAATGTGTCCTACAATACCCTCAGCCTATTATTTAAGCATGTTTGATTGTAAACTGATACTTCTGCTTATAAAACTGCATTTCATAAGGTTCATTATACAAGCGCAAGATCTACTGGAAAGTGCTACATTTCAAGATTTTATTCACCTGTTTATCACTAAGCAAATCATTGTTTCCAACAACTTCCACAGAAATGTAAGACTGTCCTCTCAAATCATAAATAGGAACGTTTTACAGCTTAGTGCCTTTTAAAGCCCTATAGGCAGATAGAAGGCATTGCTGAGATAGTTCTTCCCATATGGATGTCAGAAGAGGTGAAACACAAATGTAACTGAAAAGGTTAAAATGGCTCCACATTCCTCTGCCAAGGATGGCCAATTTCTCTTCGGCAGAAATACCTTTTCTATTCACTGCGAGAACAGTATGCAGCTCAGCTACAGTTGCCGATTCATACGTGACTTCTTATGCCCTTTACTTTACAGAAACGTTCAAAAGAAGTCTGTCCACGCTTTGGAGAACTCATCCTGTTGAGAATAATCAATTTGAAAGCCTTTTCCTTGAAAAAAATCTAAGGCACCTCTGAAACCTACTTTTCTTTCACAGTCTCAAGTTTGAAGATATGCACCGTCTCTGTGTTACTGGATGCAGACAGAAACATGCCATCCATGCTGAAAGCCAACGAACAGATGCTCACGCACCTAGGGGAAAAAAGAGAAAGGAAAAACAATGAAGCATTATTTTTGACATTCTAGTACCGTACCAATTGGTGTAAGAAGAAAGCTAGTGTTAACTAACTCATGGGAATTGACTTAAATGAAAATATTACTTCTCCATTTTGGTAGGTAGGAGTCTTTCTGCACATTCACCATAGGAGCTCCATAACGATCACATGAGCTGTACTGTGAGAGCTGGGAGGAACGGTGGCTGCACGGTAGACTCACCTGCTGCTCTTCTCCTGTCAGTGATTGCAGGTGACTCGCAAAGTATTTGGCTTAATTAATAATTAAGCAGATTTCTCAGTCACCACTGCTTCGCAAATAAGAAAAAAAGAACATTTCCATAATAAGCATTCTGCATTCTCTGACACCTGCCTAAAGCACTTCAAGAACAAGATCCCCATTAATGATGTTCAACTCTGATGTATACCAGATATGGGGGTCAATTAGTAACAATCTGAACTCAGTCTCACCTCTGTATAAAGTACAGTACAACTAGAGTTACTCCTACCACAAATCATAGTACCATTTCACAATGGCTATCAATGATCAAAGCACTAGAAGGATTTAGAAGAGAGTGAGAATATTAGATGTACTGCCTCCAATTGCCACAAGAATACAATATATCTTACAAAAGGTGACCCACTTAAAACAAGTTCCCTCACCAATAAATTTTTAAAAGGCAAGAGGGAGTACGATTCTGACAGGATTGATTTGTAGAATAGTCAAGTCCAAAGGAATGAAATTGGAAGACATTCAAGCTGAAACTGTTACAAGCGTACAGGCAGGGATGAATGAAGATGAAAACAGGCAAAAATCAGGATGCCAGCTCAATTGCAGAACATACTGGAGATCTACCATAAGGAATGAGCTTCAGATAATTAGCCCAGTTGAACTTTACCTCTTCACTCCCCTTCGGAATTCAAAGAGTTTCTGTCCCTCTGGAATGGAAAACACTCTTATTACTGTCCCCTGTAAAGGAAAAAAAAAATTTTTTTCATTTCAAGTTCGTTCATTGTGTATTAGCTCTAGTGAGCAGAGTACAACTACAAGCAGCAAACCACTTTGCTGTTAACTTATTGCCGTTGATGCACACCACATACTAGCATGAAGTATTTATGGAGCTTGTTCGTAGGATGTGTTTGAAGAGTAGAGAAACAACAAGAGGTGGGAGCTACTAATGTAGAGAACAAGCTATGCATCAAGAACAGCCCTTCTTATCATATTTGATCATGAAAATGACCACACTAGACAAGTACCACAAGTACAGTCACCTGGATGTCTTTGTGCCTTTATCAGATGCCATCAGTCACACCTTTATATTCTAAGCTTATTACTCAAAGAGCAGAGGCTTCAGACTTTCCAATGTATACAATTTAGATGGACAATTTGTCATTGTGTGCCAAAGACTGGCAAGACACTTCTCTCTATTCTGACTTTAACTGTCTTGTTTTCATTAGGAAGACAGGCTCAAAACAAGACAACTAATTTCTAATAAGTATCCTGCACTAAAGGGAGAAACACTTAGAGGATTGCCCTGATTACAGCCAGATTAAAATGTGTTTATTTAAATAACCTTATTACCCAACATTTCACAGCATGGAAATTGTGTCCAATATCATTAACGGTTCTTAACTTAGATTTGCCATTATAACTGTAAGCCTTCTTTTTTTGGCACTTGCGCATGGAATTGTGCACATTTAAACTTACTTAAAATGCTTAGAAACAAATTTCATTTTTATCACTCTCGGCAAGTCAATAAAAAGCCACCTTACCTTTTCTGATGCAGTGGCAAGTTTAGTACCACTTGCATCAAATGCCAAAGCAGCCAAGGGACTATCATGAGCTGGGATCATATTAGCAGCTCTCTGCAGGAGTGAATCAATAAAATATAACCTTAGTACAGTACAGGTTAAAAGCTACACGTTTGCAGCTTAAGACTGCATATTTAAGAGCATTCGAGGCAAATATGGGTCTTACTTTATGGACAACAGCTTCAATATTTGTTTCAGTAACTGCTAAGTAGAAGTACATAAAATTATCACATTAGCACATGCATAGAGACTACAAGCAGTAGAAGGATACTTAAAAGACAATTCAAACAGAAATTACTTTGCTCCACTGATTTGCCCAACTCTACTCATCAAATCTAATATTAGCGTCTGTATCTTCTTTGCTGACGTTCTGTGAAGCCTAGCTGTTAGAGATACTGCAAACTGACACAGAAGAACCTGAGTGTCTAGTAATTCCTCTCTGAGCAAGTTAAAGTCATTTCCAAAGACTGCATCTTTAGAAGTGGAAACAGCATTCACAAAGATCCTTACCAGATTGATGGTGTCAAAGACTTGTACTTCTCCAATGGTTGCACTTCCTGGATAGGCCAGGTAGCAGTTATCATTGTTTATTGATAAAGCACACAACCCTAGAAGGGATGCAGAAACAGAATTAGAAAGAGGCAAATTCCAAGACTTATGCAGCAAAACTCTGTAATATTCAAACACAGAATCAGAAAGATAACTCAAGTTATCCTTGCAAGGTATGAACAGAAACAGAACAAGGATGAGTAATCTCAGAGTCAACCTGCAACATATTCAACTATTTAGCATAAGTTAAATATAAAGTAGAAAAGGAACAATACCAACAGAGCTACAACAACCGATTAAGCAGTAGAATTTCCCATGTCTGCCATGACTCCTAAAGCATTAACCTGACAAAGCCTTTAGCTATACCAAGTGCTGGCAAAATGCAGTTTGTATCTCTACTACTTCTTTCTAACATTTCAACACACCCGCTCTAGGAGACTAAAATACTGGGAAGATGCAGTTTAAGGCAGAGTCTGCTATTTGTTCTCAAAAACCTCACCTGGATTAAATGGGTAGGCTTTAAGACAACACTCATGTATTTAACTGTTACTTTTATTTGCAAGTAGAATTAACATTTCCATGTAGGAAGCGTCATACATTGACACAGAATACACTTTTCAGAGTTATGCTAGCTTCTAACAACATACTTACCTGCAGGATTGGGAGGTGTCTCCCTGATTGTATGTAATACCTTCATGTCTCGTATGTTGTGTATATAAAGAGACTCTTCCAGACATACTATCAGCCTCTAGACATGGGAAAGAGGACAAAATGCTGATATCAAACTGGAGTTTATATTAATCTATCAATCCTAAAAAGAATTATATCCAAAAATGCAGTAGGTACTTTCCAATAGAGAAAAGGTGGTACCCACCTGATGGGAAGAAATAAGTCTGACAGAAGATACACAAGATACACAAGCTATACCTCTTGACAAGGCTTCAACAGTGCAATACTACACTCGGTCACTTGAACTGACCAGTGCACTTGACTTCTCTCAACCATGCTAGTGCAAGTGACTTACACTACTAGTTTAAGTCAGCAAGCCAGAAGCCTTCATTTAAAGCTATTTAATTCTTACTCTGTACCTGCCCTTATGTATTCCGCACCCCCTCTCCCCCAAAGAGGCCAATTCACATGTGGAAATAATTTTCTGCTTTGGCGAAAGAGAAAAAAACATACAAGACTTTTTTTTAACCATTTATAGAGACTATTACTCATAATCATTTGTGAGGGGCTTTTTTTTTTTTTTAAACTTTAAGTCCTTCAACATCTCATTTACACTTTCGTAGACTACATCTGGATGACTAACAAGATGTTACTCATCTAATGCTACCTCACTATGCCAGAAATCAAATTAGCCACTGTTCCCCTTATGATTTTAAACAGGAATCCATCTTCCCACACCTGATTTTTTTGGGGGCAGGGACGGACACTAAGAAGATTTTCTCCTTCAGATACCATTCTCTCTACTTTGAATGAACTGGTTGAAGACAGAAGTCTGTATTGGCAGAAGAGCCTACTAATGATTTAGTAATACAGCAAACTATGTTTCCAGGTACTTAACTGAAAAAAAAAAATAATCACTGAACTGGTGAAATTTTTAATTTTTTTTTTTAAAGAATTCAGCAAACTGTATTTAAAAACATAAGAAGTGAATAGATAACAAAGTTTAGGCCTGAACAGAAACTGTCAGTTTCACATATTTTCACATTTAGGATCACAGGATGATTCACACTGGGAGGGACCTCAGGAGTTCTCTAGTCCAACCTCCTACTCAAAGCATGCCCAGCTTACTCAAGGCATTTTCCTAAGTAAATACATAAAGAGAGAAACAAAAATACTTAACCAAATACAAGTACTGAGATGCCATACAGAAGCTACAGTTGGAAAAGTACGAGTTAATTTCAAACAGCAATTCTGTCACCAAAGGAAGAGACATCAATCAGCAGAGGAAGTGCCAGAATAAGATCCACAACCCCTTCCCGTGTTTTCACCTAGTCAAAATTATTACTCACCTGTCTATTGAGTTTGACAGCCAAGATGGTGTTGGAGTAACTGTAGTTGCAAATCTCTGTCCCCTTCTTAAAGTGACAAACTTTCAGCTTGCGTGGAGCTTTAAGGCTAACTATGGCCACCAGACTACTGGAGAACAGCCTCTCCACAATGCACACATCTTCTGTGTCAGCTGAGGAATCACAGTAAACGAGGGAAAAATACAGAGGGAGATTTCAGGGAAGAAGAATGATGCACATCAACAGGAAATACTGTCTAAGAAAGTACAAACTACCACCACAAACATTCTGCCACGACAGCTCAGAGTCAAGGTGGGATGCAGGACAGGTTTTTAAAGCAGAAGATCTACCCAGTAAATGCTGATTTACAGAGATCTCCCCCCCCCCCCCCCACGTGC